TGCCAAAAGCTTCTAAGATAGCTAAGGACTTCCTGGAACGTGTCAAGGACGTCATCTGGGAAAGGAAGTTTGCGCGGGTGCAACTTGGAAAAGGCCGTTATACCTATGGCTTAATGCCAACTGACACCAAAGAGACAGACATCATCTGTGTTCTCTTTGGTGCTAGCGTGCCAGTCGTTCTGCGCCCGCAAGGTGAATGCTTCACCATGGTGGGTGAATGCTTCGTCTATGGCATGATGGAAGGCGAGGCGGTGGCTGGCAAGTTGTTGGCTGACAAGTCGTTGAAACCCTCTTTTGATAAAGCTGAGTTCTTTGAGCTAGTCTGAAGAGCTTGAGGCTTTTCTTCCCTTCTTTCCTTGCTTTCCTCTTTCTTCCTCCTCCCCTTCTCCATCTCTTTACACTGTGATCTTGCACAGTGCTTCCCCCAATGAGTCTTCATTGGCAGCAATGATATGTACACAGTTCTTTGATAATATCAGGTGCTCTTTCTACTTAAATAAAAGTTTTGAATCAATCCCCTTGTTAGTAGAGAACCCAACTTTTAAGGGGCTTGAAGTTCCTATTCAGTGTACGTACTTCGTAAATATCACGTGATAAGAGGCCCTTGTCAAATTTACCCGCTTTAGGTCTAATCTCCCAGATCTTCAAAGTCCCTTCAACATTTCAGGCTCTTTTAGAACCTTCAAGGTCTCCACGAATACGCGTATCACATGATGAATTAGTGTTCATCTGCTGTCTTTGTCACGTGGCCTGATCACATGACTAATAACAATGGTAATTGTTCACTAAGCTTAAATGGGAAAAGAAATTGAGGTCATATTGAAAGAACCGAAAACCTGAAGAAGCACACTAAGCCTAATTGCGATCAGTCAAGGCCTGAGACAATTGGAACCCTCCTTGAAAGTCGGGCATGACGTTAGTCACACTACATACAGACCAGGCGAGAAAACACCTTGCATGAGCCAATGAAGAAGTAGGTACAGATTGGGCAAGACACCTGTGATTTCATGTAGCTGACCTAACCTGACATGCAGGCAATGTTCGGCTGTGCTCTCATGTTGCAAGACGTGTTCGATGACAGTCTATCACCAATCAAAAGCCACTCCTGTCCCATGTGCATTCGGTAAGTCGTGACAATAATACATTAGCCCCCCCAAAACATCAATGTGTAAGAACCCGAGCCTCGCCGCTTTCTACCTGACACTCGGTTCAGGAAGTCTCGGAGCCCTTTAGGCTGAGTAGTCAACCACTTCGCTTTCAAAGACCTCGATACATAATGATGATATTCTCGTTCCATGATCGCACAGCATTCGCTTTTCAATGGCATGCACTTGAAGATCTCTACTTTGAATAAATCAGTTTTGCCCTCAGGATGGCGCTTGTTGCCAATACCAATTCGCCAACTCGCAGAAACAGCCCGCCTGTACGATTCAATTCCACGAACTCCATAACTAAATCGAGATCGAAATCACTACAAGAACGAAGAACTCGTGCTTCGAAGCTGGAGCTGCAGCTGCGACTTCGCTTGGAGACCGCCGAGAAGGACATTTTTGACTGGTATGAGGAGAATAAATATACAGAGGATGCCGGAGTAATATATTCTCCGGAGTGGCAAGGTCGTCTCATTGAATGGGGTAAAGAATTTGATAGCAGCATCGACTCGGATACACCCAACAATATTGAATTGCTTCGGAAGGATCCCGAGAAGCTCGAGCTTGGGCTCTTTTTCCAGGTACATCCTATTGCAGCGTTCTCGCTCTGGAATGTACTTCAAGCGTGCTACGAACTTGATAGGGTTATCTGCGGGACGACAAAAGAGGACCGAGTCAAGATAATGGAATGGCAGAAGTGGCGCCCTTTCCAGTACCTTCTATCTCAAGAGGTTATTTCTCTGTGGGGAGAGAAACTGCGTGTCTTGTCATCTGGGGCCAAAGAATGTACGGACAAGTTCGAGAAGGAGAAGATCGCCGAACGCCTGCAGGACATTGCCCAAGCCGTCCAAGCTCTTGAGCAAGCCCTTTCAACTTTTACTTCTGTTGTTGATGGAAAGAGAGGAAGGAAGCCTTGTCCAACTTGGGTGTTGAATAGGGTCCAAGAGAGTGTTACCGAAAGATGTCGCCACATACAGGAGATGTAGCCACATTAAGCACATCTTGATTTCTCCTAGCCATGAGTCCCCACAACGTAATGGCAAAACGCCTGAATGGTATGGCCCGGGCGTATGGTGCGCACAGCACGGCTATACAGTAGGTTCGGATCCTGCTGGGGTTTTACCAGGTCCGTCTCTCAGGTTTTTCTTTAGGACACGCTGGGCGTTAATGAGGGTGGACTAAAGCGGAAATGAAAAGGCATGTTCGGGTTTTTTTCTGGTATTAGCTGGCGCCAACGCCAACCAGCTAAAGTAATGCTGCAGTACGGATGTTGCCAACGCGATGCTATATTTAGGCAGGCATGGTGGAGCAATACAAAGACAGTGGCCTTATTACAGCAGGGACGTCTTTCATAAGCAGGTGTGGTGGAGGATTTCCTCTGTCAAGCGATACTCTAGCTCTGCCCCTTATCCTAAACGTCGGATACGCCAAAGTACACGCTGTAGATGTACTATCATATATAGCACACCAACGACATTACGATTATCACCATCCTAGCCATGAGTGCAAAAATCATTATAACGATCATACATCTGTAATCTTGAACTACCTAGTATGATATAACAAATAAACTAACCCATCAGCATGTATCAACAACTAACGCTTCACACTAATTGATATTTTAGTCCTATTACTGTATGAATTACCTATGTAGATATCGTCCATAGATATTCAGCTTAGCATGAGAGCGTATAGCAGGCACGCTGAGGTCAACCTACTCGGTTTAATCTACTGATCGAAATACATTCATCGGAGACAAGAATAGAAGCAAGAAAGACTTCTTGGTTCCTGGTGTCCGTCAGAGGCAAAGACAGAACTACGGAAATCATTTCGCTCACTACCTACCTGGGCACCGAGTTCTATGATGATCGTCTAACTTCTCGAGTTTCTAAGTTTAGGAAAAAGAGTCTTGAAGAAGCAGTCGACCGTACATCGTATAGGGGCGTCGAAAGTATAAAGTCGACATAGTTGACCGGTGGCTTGGACATATTCTTCTCGCCATTACAGCATCACATCACAAAACTTGAACTCTCTAATTAAAGCCACAAGCAACACTCAAACTTCCCAGCACTTCAAAACTATCCTTCAAAATTTTCTTCAAGACCGTCCTCGCTACTGCCATCGCCGCCCTTTTCGCTGGGAAAGCCATGGGCATTGCTACCGACGCTTGTATGCCCCATTCTCACACAGTCCTGAGCCTGGACTGCCTATCCTAATCTTCCACGTCGCAGATGCCGCATGCAACTGCCCCAACTAAGCTGCCAAAACCTGGAGATAGTCACTTGTACCATATGGACGTGTATATATGAGGTGGGAAGGGTTTGGGAGTCATGTGGTTCAGCTCGGATGTTGGTGTGCCTTTGTGACATCCTGCTAGTTTCCCACATGGAACCTGCCCCTATACTTCTGAGGAGGAATTGTTTTTCAAACCATGAGCATTTTCCTCAGCAGAATACTCCCAACAGGCTTTAAATGGGAGTATGGCAGTGGGGGGTCAGAGAAGGGGATGAGTTTGTAAGATAAAGCAGGAGTTGTACCTGTTACGCTCGTTTGTACTACATTTCATTTGTTAACGTATCTCCCGTATGGCGTGCCCGAGTGTGATTTCTCTCGTATGTCTCTGACTTCTTCGCACTAATCTTGTCTGTCCATTGCCAGTTTAGAACCAGGTGGTTAAACAGCTCTCCTGCCAGAAGGGTAACATTCATCCTAGCAGTGTATCTAGACATTTACCAGACGTAGATAATGAAAATGCTCTCACAGGGGTTCTTACTCTGGAGCTTCTCAATAGTTTGCTGCCCAGTAATCAAACAGTCACAAGGTATCTGGAAAACACACGTTGCTAGATGGAGGGATATTTGTTGCTTTTATCCATTGCATATCGTATCCAATATGCTACTTTACAGCAGCCCCTTAACCACACATCCTAAAGCTTCTGGATTCTCTTCGACTGCCCCGACTATTCAACGATTTCATCATATATCGGAGCGGGTTCTCTCACGCTTGTCCTCAAGATTTGTCATTTCTAAAATGGCCAGAGCCGGCTCGGAAAAGGTGAAAGTAACTGGCAAGATGGTGACTCGTGAGGTTTACGAGAGGCAACTGACAAGAATCATTAGGTACCTAGTTACGATCAAGAGAGTCAATACTCTTTACCCATAGCCCTTACTTTGGATTCTGGGCGGTAGGTGCTTTACTCTCAGGAGAGGTATGCGGCACATCATCTTAACTGCTAAGTCGGACGGTGACAGCCAAGTATATCAACCATATAGAACGCCTTTACACGTACTTACGTATGTGTACTGTATGTACCATAGTACGATAGATACAGTACCTGGTATGACGTTTATGATGGCAAAACAACATTACAATCAATTATAATTGGAGATTTTCAATATCGTGCAAAGCTATCTAGAAATGGAGGACATTCCTTTTTCTTCTTTTTAAAACCGATTTGAAGCCGTTTTTCGAGTAGAAGAAGAAAGCATTGCTGGCTACAGGTACATAGGTGTGCAACCACGTGGAAACCGGAAATAAACGGTTCTCATAGCTGAAAACGGTGACAAATCCCAGGCTCTAGATCAATTTGCAACTGCCACGTTACAATGTCAGTTTTTCTTTTACCAGACGTTCAGCTGTCGAAATATTCCATGAGCGTTGTGTTTTAGTGGTGCGGTCTCTTATCTTTTAAAGTAATCGTTCCTTGTGCTAGTCATTCATTCATTGGTTTGACACATGCCTTCTCAGAATTAATATGATGCACGATCATATCTTACCTGAACAAAAAGGCAAAAGAATTGAAAACTGAAAAATTACATGTCGATTAAGGAAACAAAAAGCTGACTGACTGGGCCCAGCCGGGATTTGAACCCGGGACCTGTCACATTCTCCCGTTCACCAGGATTGGGATGACTCCCGCTATTGTACTGATTAGCTAATCGTTATAGACTAGGGTACGTTCAGTTCTACTTACAAGCGACAATCATAGCCACTAGACCACTGGGCCGTATGTGATTCGTGATTTTTGGGGTCGATAATACCGTATAAGACGGCACTGGCTCCTCGGCAGAATTATTAATGGAGTCGCCCCAGTCCCAAAGAGTGAGTAAGAAGTGACGCTACAGATGCGTTCTAGAAGGAAGCTGGCGGGGTGGGACCTACAGGTAAGGCGCTAAGGTATTGTTGGTACGCCTGTGCCGCCTGTGCAGCGGGTCACGCACGTTAACTGGCTGACTGGATGCGCCCAACGTCCGCAAGACTTCAACTTCAACTTCATCTTCGCAAACCCGTCATTGTCTCCAAGTCCAAGTCGGAGTCCCCATGCGCCCATTCTAGCCTTTTATCGGCCTTTCCCTCCAATTTTGCAATACAAAATTAGATGTTCCTTTTGTAAAAGCTCGACTCTTCTTCGTCGGTGGGAGCTATGGGCCTCTGCGAATATTAAGCCCCTAAACTATAACTGCTGCTGGCAGGGACCCTGGTCACTCATATTTAATAAGAATAAGAATTCTCGAGTCTCGACAGCGCTCAGCTGCTCAGAGGGACACGCCTACCAACGATGATGTTATGCTCTTCTTGCTCCCTTATTTGACCAGACCTGACCTGACTTGATCCTGATCTTGATCTTGATTCTACCCAAGACCATGTTCCTTTCCAGCTTTCTAGGCAACCCCACGGGGCGGAGGGGTTCCTTCAGATCAAACAAGCCAAGATCATCAAGACATTCCCCTGAGGTCTCGCCGTCGCGGCCCCGAAACCACGACCTCGAATACCTCTCGGACGAAACCCAGCTAGCGCCCGTCGATGAACCTCCCCCAGATGTGCTCGACCTGAACAAGAACCTCGAGGTGCTCGCCGTTCTGTTTCCCGACATCCAGGTTGAGGTCTTTCGGGAGATGCTGGCTTCCTTTTCCGAGGAGTCGCGGTTATTCATAATCACTGACAAATTACTGAAGAATCCCGGCGAATTCGTCAAGGGCCGACGGAGAGCCGGCGACCACAGTAGCTCTGATTCGAACACGCTGGTCCCGCAAACTGAGGTGTTCAGGACGACCGGATACAAAGACGCGGTCCGAGCTCTGGCGATGCAGGAATTTAAAGGTCTGTCCAAGTCATCCGTCGACGCTGTCTTATCCGAGTCCAACTACTCCTACCTCGACGCGCGACCGACCCTCGTGGACCTGTCTTCCAAGTCGTGGAAGTTTACCATATCGTCCTTGTTCTTTCGTCGTAAACCCGTCACTTCCACCGAGGCGGAAACGCATCCCCTAATTACGTGGAGATCTTCCGACGACGGCTCGATGGTGCCGACCTTAAAAGTAACCGGCAGCGCTGAGTTAGACAGAGAACTTTTCGAAGAGTTAATCATGCCCTTAAAGCGACGGGAACAGCTATCGAGGGAGGAGAGCGACCGCGCTCTGGCCATTTCCCTTCTTACGGAGGAAGCCGAAGCGAACGAAGCGACATACGAGTGTAGTTGTTGCTATGCCGATGTCATCTTCGAGGAGATTACTACCTGCGGCACTGAAGGACACATAGTTTGTTTTAACTGCGTTCGGCATTCCATCAGTGAAGCCATATTTGGACAAGGTTGGCAGCGCAGCATCGAAAAGGAGACGGGCGCTTTGCGATGCCCTGCCGTGGCGTCAGTAGAGTGTATCAGTTCCGTATCGTCGGAGCATATCTATCGGGCTATGCGCGGTGAGAAGAACGGCGACGAGATCCTACGCAAGCTTGACCAACGTCTGGCAGAGCACGGCCTCCTGTCGAGTGGCTTGCCTCTGATCCGGTGTCCCTTCTGCAGCTACGCCGAAGTCGACGATCTATACATGCCTGCCAATACGTCCATGCCCAAATTACGCTCCAGCAACATTCCGAATATTGTCATCATCCTGATATGCTTAATCTTATCACCACTCTCCTTCCTCGTTCTCCTTCTGGGGCTTGTGTGCGTCTTTCTTTGCTTGAGTCGGTCGTTCAGGGAATGCGGTTCTCGGCATTTCAGAGCGGCGCTCACCCGGTACCAGCGACGCTGTCGTGGCCTGAAATTCATCTGTCAGAACCCAGTTTGCGCTCGCTCATCTTGCTTATCGTGCTCGAAAGCGTGGGTAGACATCCACGTCTGCCACGAGTCGTCCCTCGTTGCTCTGCGGACGCAAGTGGAGCAGGCGATGTCGATGGCGATCAAACGCGTCTGTCCCCGATGCAACACGTCTTTTGTCAAGACAGCCGGTTGCAACAAGCTTACCTGCCCTTGCGGATACAAGATGTGCTACGTATGTCGCAAGGACATCGGCGTATCGAATGAGGGCTACCAGCACTTCTGCCAACACTTCAGGCCAGAAGGTGACGGTCGGCGATGCAGAGAGTGCAACAAGTGCAATCTGTGGGAGGCCGAGAATACGGAAGAAATCCTCCGGAAGGCCAAGGCAGAGGCAGAACGGAAGTGGAGGGAGTCCGAGAGCCGCGAGCTGTCCGACGCGGAGAAGGCGTACCTCGAGGATGGTGTCGGCAGTCTTGGCCGGGATAGAGGTCTCGTGTGGATGCTTCCAGGCGGGAAGATTCCAAGCATCGAGGAGTTTTGTGATTTTATTGTAGAGAACTTGTTTATATGACCGGAACGGAGCGAAACAGGCGCGGCGTTTTGGATTTCCAGGTTTGCAAAAGGAGCATATCGGTTACGGGCCAAGCGTGTCTTGGTAGTCAACTTTCACAGACAAGCAATCTCATTGGGAAAACGGCGCAAAGAGAACTCCGGGGTGCATGACAGGGCAGAGCACGTAAAGGGGAGAATCAGAGGGTATATGCCATACCCATCAGCAGCATCGTACATGCAACAGCAATATTGTAGGCCATACATAGCCTCAAGTAATTTTACTATATTCAGGAACTCTGGATGTGATCAATAGACTGGAAGCTCTTACTGTGAATGAGTTTGTTTGGTTCTTAAGCAGGCATATTTGCAGTCACTCGAGCATCAAATGAGGTGGAGAAGAAAGCTGATCCTCGGCTATTGAGGTCGCTGCATTCCTGCACACTCCTATTTCTATTTTATCTCAGATAGCAGTCTGCGTCTAGAATACTGCTCTACTTCTCCTTCTCATCTGTCGTCATGATTCGTGCAGTTTGTTTGGCGGGTAATGAATACGGCTGATTGGATACACAACCTATGATAGAGACAGAGACATGTTTACGTGTCCAACACATAGACGAATAACAAACATAAATAGAGGGAAAAGTAGACGATGATAATATAGTTCATAAACTACCTACCTACTTCCTGGCCAATACGCGTACATATATTGTTTAAGAAAAGCGTCGGCGTTATCGTCAAGCACTTCTCCAACACAATCTGGTGTCTTGGGATGTAGCATAGGGCATGTATCTGAAAGCCACATAGAGATACCACTAGATCTTTATAAGTTAAGCGAGCCAAGATGGGAGAGGCCTGCTCCGTCTCCTCTATTCTAGAAGTCGAGCTCTGCTTTCCCTCTTCCCCTCTCTTGACTGAATTAGCCAACTACCTGGGTCTATATGAGAAGTGTATGGATGTCTGCCTCCACACATCTCTGTAGCTACGCCTGGCCCATGAAAAGCAGATCTTCTTGACCTAGCAATGTGAAGTCTGAGTAGTAGAACCTCTTATATCCATCCACATGCAGACCGAGCGAAAGATTTAAAGTGAAAAAGATATATATTCCAAACTACATAGGTACATTTCATAACGTGGATAGTCATCGACACCGCAGGTATTTTGAAACATCCCTCATGCATGTATGCCCACCCCCCCCCCCACGCCATCGATCCAGCCTCACCCATCCACCAACTCTCCTGCCCCTTTCCTCAATGCTATACAACCCCCTCCCTCCCTCCCTCTCACCATCTCACCACCTGGCCACTACCACCTACAACTTCCCCCCCATCCCACCCCCAACCAACTCCGCCGCAGCGCCCGAAATAGCCAGCTTGCCCGTCTCCTTGACCTTAGCCTGGAAGACGACCTTGGCCGGTCCCTCCTTCCACATCTCCGTGACCAGGGTCTGGCCGGGCAGCACGGTGCCGGCGAAGCGCACCTTGATATTCTTGAACGGCCCGAACTTCTCGAACACGGCCTTGCCCGCGATCCCCATGAAGCACAGCCCGTGCAGGATCGGCACCTTGAACCCGCCCATCTTGGCGAAGCTCGGGTCGATGTGGAGCGGGCTGACGAGGGAGAGGTTGGGTTAGTGCTTTGCTTGAGAAGAGTTGGGGACAGGTGTGGAAAGAGAGAGTGTGTGTGAGACGGATTTAATGAATGTGTGAATGAGAGCCGGATTGGGGAAGAAGGAAACAAAAAGAAAACTCACTTATAATCGCCGCTAAGCCGGTAAACAGCAGCCTGCTCCTCCGTAGTAGTGGACTCAACAACCACATCCGGGTGTCGGGCAGGCGGCTTATTAGCCGCCGTAGCAGCCCCCCGATCAGCCGCGCTCTTCTGGCCACCAAACCCGCCACAGCCCCTCAGAAAGACGGTAGCCTCGTTGTAGAAGAGCTCCTCGCCCGTCTCGGCGTTGACCGTGGTGACGCCGCTCTTCAGGATGGCGGCGTTGCCCTTGTCGACGACCTCGATGAGCTTCCCGAAGTTCTTGGTCTTGGCCGCTGTCGGCACCGGGTACTTGCGCACCTCCAGGTACTGCTCCCCGTGCAGCAGCATCATCGGCGAGAAGTTGGGCACCACCTCGTCGAAGCCGAACGGCATGTTGACGTCGAACTGCGGGATCACCCCGAACGTCGGCAGCACCTGGAAGTCCTCGCTACCCTCGAACACGTACTGCAGCTCTGTCCTCTTGGCCCCGACGCCCAGATTGTACAGCATGCTGTCGCGTTCCGTGTATGTGAATTCGGTTGCCGGCGACTCGGCTGCGAAGGCCTTCTTTTGGGCCTCGAGGTATTGGTTGCCTCCTGCAGTGCTCTAGGGGAGAGAAAACATGTATGTTAACTTCTGTAAATTCATCCGCATGGTAGACT